GGGTATTCACACAGAAAAGGACAATAAAAATTGGCGAGGAAGGGTGGGAGAGGGGTGGGGGAATTATACATATTTCAACATTTCTTACAAATATAAGATCTGGAAAGTGTGGCATAGATCTGCTTCTGGCTCTTTTGACACATAATGCTACGCATTAGCAGCAGGGATTTGTAAACAGGTGATGGGAAGCGACTGCAAAAGACTCTAGACTGAAGCAGAGGCTTAATTCATCCCAATGAGAATCTGTGTCAGGCTTCGAAACTGGTACTAAAAATACTCTCCATCCATTCTGACTGAGTTTGAGGTACTTTTACAGAGTAAAATGGCTAAAAAAAATTCCATCTCTAAGCGTGCAAAGCTTGCAGTGACATACCTTGAAGAATTGTATCTGTAATTGGAGTAATTTTTCTTCCAGTTCAGCACTATGCACTGCTTCGTGTCGGCCTATCATATGGAATCACAGGCAGTGACATGATAGAATGTGAAAAGGTTTAAAGGGTATGAATATTTAACCCTGCATTGTTAATAATTTATCCGACCTGGCAAACAACATTTAAAAAAAAAAAAAACGTAGCAAGACCGTTTTAAAATTTGCTCACCGAGCTTCCGTGGACTCAAACCTTTAGAGTCAGACACACTTTTAGAGTCCCTGTTCACCGGTCTTCCCTCAACAAATGATCTAATCAACCACAGGAACATGAGAAAAAAAATGTGGAGGAGCTTTTGGCCGTTTTATCTTTATTCAGTTTGCTTGAAGTGTGTTTTATTTTCTCCCTACTGTCTTTACAGCCAGTTGGATGTTCAAGGATTTTCTCGTTCCTTAGCAACAGCGAAGCATCCAGACACAGCCCTCTATAGGCTCTGGGATGTAGGAGGTGCTTTTCAACACAGCAGTGGGTTAGCTGGTAATTAGCACATGTGTACATACGACATGTAAGCTGTCAGTGGTGTGCTTTTAGGGAAGTCTCACTTGTTTGACTGAACTCGAGCTTTTGTCCAGTATGAGGAAAAGTGTGTGTTAGAGTAAACACTGGGCACCAGCAACAATCCAGCCGTCTTGTTTCATGGGAAT